AATACTGATAAGGAAAATAAAAGAGATGACTTTTGTAGGCCACACTGGCTGTGATAAGAATGGGATATTATTGCAAACAGCCAGAGCAGATATACGCCCCATGGACAAGTCTGAGCAAGTTAGTACTAGAATACTATTCGACAGTGGTAGTCAGCAGACATATATATCTGAGAAGGTTCGAAATAGACTTAGGTTGAAGGCATTAAGATCAGAGAAAATGATAATTAAGACTTTACTTTTTTGGGGGAGAGTGTGGAAACTTCATTTAGCATATTTATTAGCTTCGTTTTGCCATTGGTCAGCATGATCACATTACGTGTCAGACCATATGGACAATTTATTCATTATTGATTAAGGGTTTGATCAGCATGGTGTTTATGTAAATTAAGCCAATAAAAACTATATAAAAAGTTGGACTAGTCTTGCTTTTTAAAAAAGGTATAATCAATATGCTTGCAAAACAAAACATCCAAAGGGTAATTGTAGAGTTATTTTACAGCTCTATAAAGAGCACGGGCAAGGCATCTGTTGGCGATGAGTCATGAGTGTCGGTAACTTGGAATATATACTGACCAGTTGGTAAGTTGGTAATCAAGATATGTGAAACAAGGGAGTGGATGGGAAAATCATGGGTTGACATCCTAACATTAACTTGGCTATGTGTTTTACTAATGTGCTGAAAACCCAACTGTAAACTGAACTGTTAAGGATAAATTGGAAATTTTAATTAGTTCAACTCATGACTAATCTATTATTATTTTATTTTTATAGTGTACATTATCAACTTAAAGTACACGGTGGATAAGAAGTGTCAATGCATTCAACCTATACGGCTTTCTTAAATGAGACAGTATGTAGAAAATAGACCAAAAATGAACAAGCAGTCAGCTCGATATATAGCTCAGGAGATTTTGTTGTCGAAACTGTATCCTTGATTTGATAAACTTGTGTTACAGTAAATAATATGTTTCTTGAAAAATAATTGATTTCTTCCTCAAAATGAGTAATGACATCATCAGTGACAATAGTATGACATCATCAGTGACGTAATTAGGATGTCATCGCCCATCGGATTTGCAGTGTTGTCATGGAAACAGTCTATTTAACAAGCGTTTAGGATTGGTAGGGTGTATAATAATGAAACATCAAAATATTTCAATAAGTTAATTTGAAGTAAATTTTGAGCAAAGATATGCAAAATTTTCCAATTAGAATATATATAAAAATACTTCACATGGTTACCATGGTAACTGAATGGTGTTGTCTATCGTCACAGAATAAAGAATTGAACAGAAAGGCCACTCCTTTGATGTTTTTGATGCTGCCGCCTTGCACCAGAAATTGACAGCCGCCATGTTGCTGGCAAGTAGATTGCAGCAAGTATAATAGGGAAATGTATTGGCGAGAAATGTATTTTCAGTAATAAAATGGAAAATTTTCATGATCTTGTCTTTTATCGTATTTTCTGTGGATAGTACATTAAAGGGGAAGGTAACAGGAGTGTATTTTTGTATTTATGAGATTAAGAACTCTATTTACATTTATATTATGTTCTTTCTTGGAGTTATTTTTACACAATTTTGTGATAAAATCATGTGCTATATACAACAGTATAAACAATATGACTGCTGACAAATACAGTGTTCTGTTCAATGGCAATAATTATAAAATCTTTTTAAAATCTCAGTGTTAAATCTTGGTCTTGATTTGTTTAATGTTGAACTGATTTTTATTATATATGATGTTGTGGTTTATAAGTGGGTTACTTTGATGTATTTTCTGCTTTCATTTTTAAATGCAAAGTTCCTGTTCCCAATTTGATTGTATAATATATACACGTAAACCTCCGACTATAAGCCCTGGGCGTATATATTTTTGTAAGCGATTTTTGATGGGCTTACTATACAAGGGGGGGGGGGGCTTATTATACAAGGGGAGTGGCTAATACATGGACGATCATTTGTGTTAGTAATAAACAAGTCAGACATAAACAATAGATTAAGACTAAAATAGATTAACTATTGATTTGATTAACATAGTTGGCTATAAAGACAATGGCAATGTTTACAAAGTGCATATGACATGAATTTTTTTAGTTTCTTAGATGAAAGAACTCTTTAAGCTGTAGTGTAAGTTATTTTTCAGTTTCTTGTTTTTATGGTTTGTTCCCGAGATATTTCAATTTGTTTGGTATGTAAATGAGTGTGAATATGTCCACTAGTTTATGACGTCACGTTGGTTGCAAGCTCTTCAAAATGGTTGAATATCACGGCTATCATCCAAAATAATAATTTCTAACTTCACTCACTGGTCAATGTGATAAAATACTGGAGAAAAACGTGAACTGATATATACAGTTTTTAGAGTTAATAGATATATAACCAGTGTAAGTTGAGCTTGCAACCAACGTGACGTCATAAATTAGAGGACATATTTACACTCATTTAGAGACCAAACAAATTGAAATATCTCGGGAACAAACCATGAAAACAAGAAACTGAAAAATAAGTTACAGTACAGCTTAAAGAGTTTTTTCATTTAAGAAAATAAAAAAATTCATGTCATATGCACTTTAAATATCGTTCTCTGCTATATTAAAAGACAATGTCAATGCCGAATAACGTAGTGGGCTACTGGGCTTATATTCGGGGGACTTATATTTGGAATGAGGTAAGCATTAGTATATGTGGTGGACTTATATTCGGGGGGGCTTATAGTCGGAGGTTTACGGTATGCATCCTCAGAAACAACTTAGCATATATTCCACAGGAAATGTTAGGTGGTGTTGGAATGTGATGGATATGCCATTAAGGAGCTGAAGCAGCTCACCGCCAACTGTTGTGGATTTTGTATAAACTGAAAAGTTTTTCACAAAGCTGTCCTCCAGGTACAAAATATAGTCAAGGAAACACTGCATGTGTAATCCTCCAGAAGCATTGCTGCTGGTATCCATATTCTTCAACTCCAAAGTTTCTTTACATCAGGATCGACATAGTGTGCCTTTGATAACTGCAGTACATCATGCATTGAAAGAAAGATGCAACAAAGTTCCCTTATTTAAAAAAATGTATAAAGAAATCTTGGAGTTGAAGAATTTGGACACCAGCAGCAATGCTTCTGGAGGATTACACATGCAGTGTTTCCACACGTGCAGTTTATACAAAATCCACAACAGTTGGTGGTGAGTTGCTGAAGCTCTTTAATGGCATATCCATCACATTCCAACACCGCCTAACATTTCCTGTGGAATATATGCTGAAGTTGTTTCTGAGGATATATTATACAATCAAGTTTGGGAACAGGAACTTTGCATCTAAAAAAGAAAGCAGAAAATACATCAAAGTAACCCACTTATAAACCACAATATTTATGTAAATATACTTTCGAGAAACTAGGTGGTAAAGGCCAAGATTATTATTTACCATATACAAAAACCATCAGTTCAACATTAAACATATCAAGACCAAGGTTTAACACTGATATTTTAAAAAGATTTTATAATTATTGCCATTGAACAGAACAGTGTATTTGTCAGCAGTCATATTGTTTATACTGTTGTATATAGCACACAATTTTATCACAAAATTGTGTAAAATAACTCCAAGAAAGAATATAATATAAACGTAAATAGTCCGGGAAAGTTATATCTAACGACAATTTTTTAGATATCCAACATGTCATTCATTTGCATGAACAGTTCCATGTTAGCACTTTATGTGCGTATCTTGCGTCCACATTCAGCTCACTCTTACGAACAATTTCAATCACTTTAAATACAGTCCTTAATCTCATAAATACAAAAATACACTCCTCTTACCTTCCCCTTTAATGTACTATCCACAGAAAATACGATAAAAGACAAGATCACGAAAATTTTCCATTTTATTACTGAAAATACAGTTCTCACCAATACATTTCCCTATTATACTTGCTGCAATCTACTTGCCAGCAACATGTCAGCCGTCAATTTCCGGTGCGAGGCGGCAGTGTCAAAAACATCAAAGGAATGAGCCCTCTATTCATTCTTTAATTTATGCTATCGTGTTGTTGAGCATGTAATGCTATCCAACACACACTTAGTTTTTAAAAATTGATGTTTTGTGATGAAAAAATGTGTATTTAAGTGCATGTTGTTCATAGCTATGATGTCGTTATGATGTCATTATGATGTCATCATATTTCCATGGTAACACAGTTTTGTAACATTTTACCAACTAGTATTGCTTATTTGACATATAACATGCCATACAACACTCTTGTAATGGTTTTTTAAGTAATAAAGTATCTAATTTCAGTTTTTGTGTTTTCTTTGTCATTCAATGACGTCATACGGTTTCCACGGCAACAATAAGTGTCCAACTGTTACACTCTGTTGTTGCTCTGTACGTCACAAATATACTCACTATTGTGGTGATTGGATGAAATGTCTAGAAGTTATGACCTCATTTGTTAAAAAATTAGCATAAAACGAAGCATTTTGGTGCCACATTTCACACCCAGCTGTAAGGTGCTAGTCTACCCTAAATTTTGATCGACAGTTTAAATTATTTTCAATTTTTTTTTTGCTTTACTGACTTCACTATTTATTGTATTTTCGCACCCTGAACTTTTTTTCTGGTATTTGAAAGAGTTTCTTCAAAATATCCATTTTTATGGAAGGATGTCATAAAATTGTGCATAGCAACCATTTAGGATGACTTGTTTACTTTGGTTGCTATGGACTTTCTACCCCTGAAATACATGATATTTTCATGACAACCCCTTTGCCATTTCCCCCTTTATGCCTGCACTAAAATATCGCCTGATTGCAGGTTGAAACATCGATCAGGCCCTTGTGTTTACATCGCACATGAATTTACATGTTTGAGTAGCTATACTTGGTATACAATATCTTGCAATCCAGCTGTTTACAAAGCGTTTTTAAGTTATTTTTTAACGAGGAAATGGTGAGAGAGGATAAAGCATGGAGAAAGAAGGGGTTTTTCTGGCAAAAGACGGAGATGGCCGACAAATTTACAAATGATGCCAATCCTTGGGGCGCCAATCCTCAGAGTTCATCTGGTGTTAGCGAGGTTTTACCAACGAATACAACTGCTGATCGCGAAAGTGTCTCGACTAAGAAGCTTCTAAAAACTTCTTTTGAGAAATTCTAAAGCAGCCGAGGAATTTTGACTTGTGAACAAGCAAGAAAAGTTGGTTTAGGATTGGCACATGATGTTGAAATTGCAACCGAATTTAAAATACAAGATGCCACTCTCTTGAGCGATTGCATTTCGGCCGCAGCAGTATGTAGTTCCTGTCGTAAAACAACTTCAAAACTTTATCAACGAAACAGCGAGAGAGGTTTGTCAGAATCATTATTCCTGCAATGTTCGTCTTGTGAGGTGGTGACTCCATTACCAACAAGCAATCGACTAGGTGGCAAAGGTGGTGGGTCTCATGAAGTCAACCTGTCGAGCAGCTTTGGCTTCTCATCAATTTGGGCATGTTGGATTGACACAGTTCTGTGCTGGTATGAAACCTCCCCCAGTTGCTAAAGATGCATACAATAAGCATCTAATTAAAATTGAGAAGGCTGCCAAAACCAGTGCCGAAGAAGTAATGAAAGATGCTGCCAAAATGTTATTCGGAAAGGTTATGTCAGAATGTCCGGATGATATTGAAGAGGACGGCGAAGATTTGATTGCTCATGTTTCTGTGCAATATGCATTGCAGTTGACATGCAGTTGACGGTACCTGGCAGAAAAGAGGTCACTCATCAAAAATCGGAGTGATCTTTCTTATCTCAGTTGCAACTGGGGAAATCCTAAATTATGAAGAAAAATCACTCTTCTGCCATGAATGTAAAGCTCATAACAACCAATATCATGAAGGCAAAGAGTTCCAAGAGAGGAAGAAGGCTCGTGAACCAAAATGTGAAGTGAACCATGTAGGATCATCTGAAGAGATGGAAGCTGTGTCTGCTGTTGACATATTTAGCAGAAGTATTGCAACAAGAAAATTAAAGTATACAACCTTTGTTGGTGATGGAGACAGCAGTAGTTTTGGCCGGGTAAAGGAGGCACTGGATAACAAGTTTGGTGCTGCTTATGAAATTAAGAAAGAGGAATGTGTGGGGCATGTTCAGAAGAGGCTTGGAAGTGGTTTGAGAAGGTATAAGAATGACATGAAGGGAAAGAAACTTTTGGACGGTAAATCGGTTGGAGGAAAAGGACGGTTGACAGACAAGGTGATTGATACAATGCAAAACTATTACGACAAGGCAATTTGGGGAAACAAAGGAAATCTGGAAGGGATGAGGACCACCATTAAAGCCATTCAGCACCACATGATAAAGAATGATAAGCTAACACCAGAACAACAACACCAATACTGTCCCAAATCATCTGATACATGGTGCAAGTACTGGAAGGACAAAGCTGACGGAACTAAGTTGTACAATGAAGATAACCAGTTACCTGAGGTTTTTATGAAACAATTGGACCCACTTTTTACAAGGCTATCTAATGATGACCTCTTGAGGAGGTGTTTCAAAGGGATGACCCAGAACCGGAACGAGGCAGCTAATGGAGTGTTTTGGTCCAAGTGTCCGAAAACCAAGTTCTGTGGTGCAAGGCGTGTAGGTATTGCAGTATGATAGACAGTTGCTGTGTTCAACACTGGTGCTGCAAGCAAAGCTGTGATAATGAACTTGTGTGGTGTCACCCCTGGAGTCCATGCAATGAGAGCTCTTAGAAAGCAGGATGACACCAGACTGAAGATGGCAGCTAAAAAGGAAAGTATGAAGTACTGAGAAAAAAGACAGAAACTCAGGGCACAGCAAAAGTCAAAAGGCAACAAGATGGCATACCAACCTGGTGGCTTTGGACTAAGTGCCAATCCTGTTGACACTGGAAAGGAAAGAAAAAGAACACCAAAACAGACAAAAACCAATTAAGTAAATGAACAGCCTAAAATAACCTTTGTTATGCCGACTATTGAAGTAATAGGGGGATTCAAGGTTTCCGACGCCATTGGCTCAAGAGGTGCAAACACATTGGGGCGAGCGCGCGGCCAGTGCCATTTCCCATACTATTTTATATTAGGAGCGGGAAAATTACGTTTGCACAATTTGTCAAATTTCTGCAAAAATATTAGAGAATCGTTCAATTTTACAAGTTGTGATGAATTTCTGGGTATTTTCTGATGTCTGTACGGGATTTCATCTGAATCAAAGTCCTGGAAGTGTTAAAATATGGCGAGTTCGTTGGGATGTTTTGCGTGCTGTTTATTATAGTTTAGTATTGTTTACATGTCAGCGTGTATATGAAAACATTTGGTTGCTTCGAGTTTTAACACCCGTAATGGATGACATTTTCGCTGAACATAAAAGTTTATCATACAGCAAACAACATGGAGTGCAAACATGTAATTTGATATCTTGTGCGCCTTGCCGGTGCTATTTTGTTGTTTCAAAATATGTTATCAGTGGTGTCGCATTGCAGTTGATAGCTTCGCTTCGCCGAGATATTACAAACTACAGATCGCTGCTGAACGTTTTTGTTGGGAATAAAACTATTTCTAAGAGAAGTTTATATGTGTGTGCCAGTAATATTGTGCGGAGTTTTGGTGCAGAATGGTTTACCCATGCCGAGTAATGCTCGTTGTGCGGTCGGCTGTTGTGACAATGATAGACGCTATCCAGACCTTTGGGTGAAGAGATCACATGTTGAGACTCTTCGTTTCCACAAATGGCCAAAAGATGAAAAGGCTGCTGAAATGTGGCGTAAGCAAGTTTTAAAAGGCAGGAAGGATGATTTTAATCCAAATCCAGGTGCGTCTGGAACATTTGTTTGCTCAAATCACTTCCCAAAGGGCAAACAAACCCCAGGTAATCCTGACACTGACTACCCATCCATGTTTTTAACCTTGTCGGACTACCAGAGTAAGCCCTCACAAACAAAACGTAAAACTGGGACAAAAAGGGCACTTGATACTGACTGAGAGTGGGAAGAACCTGAATCTGGAGATGAAGAAATGGAACAGCTAAGCCAGGAAGGATCCGGCTCAACTGAGCAAGACGAGCATCTGCCAGTCATTCCATTTCAATTTGAGCAACTGACCAGAGAGTGTGATATGAGATTTTACACTGGCATTCCTTCAATGGCAGCATTCAAGTGTTTATTTGATCACTTGTCTCCTAAAGCAAGGAACATGCAATACTGGAGAGGCCCACAGCAAACAGAACGAGAATCTAGACCTGTTTCACCCCTTGACGAATATCTTGCAACTGGGATTAGAACAGGAATTTCTCTGTACCCTCATCAGACTCAGACTTGCACTAATGACTGATGATTTAGCCTTCAGGTTTCAGATTTCCTCTGCCTCTATTAGCAGTATCTTTATTACATGGATAAAGTTAATGTCAAAGGAGTTGGCAGTTCTCATCATTTGGCCCACTTGCACTCAAGTAAAAGCAAACCTACCAAGTTGCTTCAAAATGCTCTACCCAAAGGTGAGGTGTATAGTTGATTGCTTTGAGAGTTTCACCAACACCCCAAGTGGATTGGATTTGGCTGCAACAATGTGAAGTGAGTATAAGCATCACTATACCTACAAAGTGTTAGTGGCTATAACTCCAACTGGTGCAATTTCATATGTTTCTCCTGCATATGGTGGCAGAGCAACCAACATTTTCATTGTTTGTGATCCTGGGTTCCTCTACCTCATTGAACCCTCTATCTGCCATGACCTCATCATATGGTTATATGATGAGGTCATGGCAGATAGAGGGTTCAAGATCAGGGAGGAACTCATGATGAAGATGGCAACATTGTGCATCCCACCAAGCAAGGCAAAGTCCATGCAGATGTTACCGTCAGATGTGAGGAAGACATCAAATATTGCTAATGTGAGGATTTATGTCGAGCAAGCAATTGGCACGAGCAAGCAATTGGCAGAATGAAAGTGTTTCACATTTTAAAGAATGAGTTGCCAATTAGTTTGCTTCCACTGGTCGATGACATTGTTTGTGTTTGTGCTGCTTTATGTAATCTTCTACCTCCATTGTGTGTGTAAGTTTGTAAAATGCATGGAATATAAGATATTTAGTGTTGGTCTTAGTCAAAACTACCATAAATTGATATTTAGTAGTGTTGACTAAACACAATGCATCTTGAGGCAATTTATCAGCATATAAAGTTGGGAGAAATTACAATGTGTACAGTTCATTTGAACTTCACTCATATGTGCAGATGGATTGCTGTCTAAGGGAGTGGTCATTATTTATGGGGAGGGGGGGTTGGTAAATGGGAGGGGGGGGG